TTGTCCAGGGGATCTTCCCAACCCAGTCGAACCTGCATCTCTTGTGTCTCCTGCAATGCAAGCAGATTCCTTATCACTGAGCCACCTAGGAAGCCTATACTTTTATTAGCTAGAGCTAATGCGAAGAGCTGACTTATTGGAAAAGACCCTGATGCTGAGAGGGGCTGGGGGCAGGAGGAGAAGGGGACGACAGAGGATGAGATGGCTGGATGGCATCATCGACTTGATGGACATGGGTTTGAGTAAACTCTGGGAGTTGGTGATGGACAGGAGGCCTGGCGTGCTGCGATTCATGGGGTCGCAAAGAGTCAGACATGACTGAGCGACTGAACTGAACTGGAGATATTGTGATTTAACTCTAATGTGGTAAAGATCTTAAAAAAATCATACAAAGACAAAATGCGAACAAAAATAGGTTGGTAAGCAAAAATATATTTAAAAACTATAATAAAAGCACACTACTGAGAAAATTTTACACATTAAATGCACCCAGCCCATCACTTCATTTTTATTGATTAGGGCAATCTAATCACTTCATGTGATTCAGAGTTCCTTGATGGGTCCAATCTAACAGCAACAACAAAAACTAAAAAGAAAACACTTTCCCACATATGAAATGTCATTATGAACAAAGGAATCCAGAAGACATTTAACCTCAAGTTCAATTCTCGTAGTTTATAATGAAGAAAGATGTACTCACTGAAAATTATTATTTTAAGATTCAATCTAAGTCCCTTATCCATTTATAATCCTGTGAGGTAGTCTGCAATTCCTCACCATGACCTCTGACGATACAGTCACCTTTAACATTGTGGACACCAGTGTGAAAAGGGACTTTATGTATTTTTTTCTTCTAATAGAAGAAAATTTAACACAAAGGACTAGTTATTCGAATTCAATTTCCATGTAAGTGTCTAAAATGCAATATAAAATATACTGTTCAATGAGTAAATACCAAATAGTAAACTCATTGTAGGTAATACTTACAATGTATATTTATAGTTGCTGGCAAAGTATTAAAATGTCAGGAGTTAACATTTCAACATACATTTAAGATTAACAGGCTGAATAAAACATGTTAAAAAAATAATAAACCTAGCTTTTATGAACTCTTTAAATGAAATAAAACAGTAACAATGTATAAAAACTACACTGGGAAAACCAAGCTAATCTATCTGAAAAGAAAGTTGGGGGAAAAAGGGTGGGGAACTTACAATTCAAGTTTATCATCAGTTGAATAGGATTTTTAAAATGCAATAAAATCCACCCTACATTCAAATTTCAACAATTTTTCCATTTGATTTATATATAATTATTCTTCAGACTGAACTGTGATAAAGTTTAAAAAATTTGGGAACATATAAATTATGCCAACCATATTTGTATATTTTCTCTTGTATAAAGTTTATAGGATAAATAAAATATTAATCATGTTCTATGGAAAGCTATTAAAACAGCAATCCCAAGTCTTAGAAGTTTTGATAATTGTTGAAGAAACTCAAGTTATTTAAGACATATATATGTTGATAGAAGGTAGAAAGATGCTATCACTTTCCAGTTTTACTCTAAAATCTTCAGAAGAAACATATATAATGTCAGGAAAGTAAGCCTGCAAATTGTGGAGCTAGGTTTCATCTTGGTAACTGCAACCATCTCTTCATTTTAATTTTAAATCTTTCTTAAAATTAATATGCTAATATATGCCCACTGAGTAAAGTATTTCCATCATACAAACATAAAGAAAATGGGTTACTCAAAATCTCACGACTCATATACAATTCTGACATGTTTTAAAAATTTATTTTAGTAGTTAAACTCACTCTATATGTACAATTTTATATCTTACTTTCTTGTAATACTGATTTGAATGTCTTTAAACAGTTATGACATTCTACACTTATTTTTTTAATTCATTGAGCACATACTAAATATACCAAGTGCGTTCTAAATGTGTATATATAGTATATACTGGTTACATAACATTCAGTTGCATTAACTGACCATGATGCCCTTAACCGCTTTCCTCATAATGGGTATTGAGAGCATCCAAGTAAAATATTTAGGTGTAATTCCAGAAGCACATGATTATCCATGCTTCAATTCTGCTAATACACTTATATTATCAAAATTCTTATAATCTGGTCATTATCATTTGTCAGATTCTATACATCCTAGATCAAAATTAAACCTAAATTATGTCAATTTTCTCTTAACAACAAATTATCACCACCTAGTGGTTAAAAAAGGAATCTCATCATGGTACAAAGTTTCTGTCTTAAGTCAATAGATCTGGGTTCTAGTCCCAACTCCATTTTAGCCAGTAATCTCTTTGAATTTTACTTTTTTCTTATCTGAAGGGTGAATAATCATTTTATATTTACCTATTAGAAGGGTCAAGAAAGATACTGTATGAAAATGTGTATAATTTAGATACTTTTTAGTGTTAAACTATACTTTTAATAAATGTTCTCAGAATGCAGGATCTGAATCCAGGTTTTAATAATACCTATGAGGCCAAATTCAGAAAGCAATTTAAAAGTCACTAATTATTGCTTGTGCTTCACCTAATTTTTACCACACACTCTGAAGAATTATGTGTGGTATAAATATATAAAAATACTCTTTCTTATATCTGATATTCTTAATGTACAGGGTGAGGATTCATGAGTGTCTCCAAGGAACACATTTAAAGATTTGGCCCAGATCCTCCTCCTATCGAATTGAAGTTTATTCTTTCCATTAAGAAAGAAATATATTCCCACTGATGAAAATAAGCAAAGGGAGAATTTATTTTTGCAGCTAAAACCTGCAGTTGAGCGCGGGGTCCTCAAGTGTAACCTTACAGCCTTGGACACTCAATGTGCTGGCCTCTCATTCTACTGGCTCCACTGCCTCTTCCCCTGGCCTTCCGCCTCCACTGTGCTGTCAGCATACTCCTTTTATTTTTTTTGATAAAATTATTTTGAATACATGTAAACTATTAAATACAAAGGATTAGCAGCCAGCAAGCATAAATAACTTATAGAAATCAAGTAAGAATAACTTTAAACAACCAATATGAGAAACAAGCAAAGGTTTTGAATTCATGGGGAAGAAATTCAAATGGCCAATAATAGATGCTCAATTTCACTAGTAAAAAGCACCATAAAATGTAATTAATTAAATTTACATCCACAAAACTTGCAAAAAACACGTTATTATGAGTGAGTAAATAGTACCTCTCATTCATTGCTAGTATGAAACAAAATTGGTCTGCCAACTTTGACAGTGGTTTTATAATAATAATAAATTGATTTGAATAAGTGAAAATTGTAAATACTCTATGAATAGTCACTGAGAATGAGAAACAATGTATATTATTGATGTAATCTGACTCTTCTATATTATTTTAAAAGATGGACTAAATCTACTTGTATTAAATCAAGTCACTAAATTTAAAAAATAATGTTGACAAAAATATGTATTTAAATATTGAAGCAATCATGTAAATTTTTGGCA